TACATCTAAAAGGTTAAAAAAAGGACTATATAAAGAATAAAAATGTATGGTTTTATTATTTTTTCTTTTGATTTTGGGGGTGAAATGTGACCTGGTGATTCGCCTCATCACTGTTCTCATTCATTAATAACATCTTTCTGTCTGAATTATTTGGACCCTACACGTGTCGTCTCGTCTCCTCATAACACAGTTGTTTTAAGCAGGTTTCTGGGAGCCTGCAGCTCGACCCAGGAGACGGTGGCGTGAAACTGCTGCGTGTGCGTCTTCACAGAAGCGGGGGAGGATCGAGGCGCTTGTGTGTCCTCAGCAAAACTGAGATCATCAGCCCCGAAAGACACGCCACAATTGATCAAACCCTCAACGGCTGGCAAACAAAACCAGGGTTTATGAGCGTGGATTATGAAGGTGAGCGTATCAAACATCTTGACAGATCCCTCCCAGCTGATTAATGATGCGACGTCAGACTCAATTCTGCAAATCGGTTCTTTCAAACTGTTCGTTTCAATGAACTGGTCTAAAAAGTCGACGGCGTGGCATATTAAATGCTCTATATATAATAATGCTAAATGTAGGCACATTTAATTCATATCCTGATCTGCTGCTCCAACAGGGAAACTGGATTGAAAATGAAAATTACAACTGGAAATAATGGCAATTAAAAAAACAAATGACAATATGACAGTAATTAAAATTGTATTTTTTGCATTAAAAATAAATTTTAAAAACTTGTCCTTAAAAAAAATTGTATATAATAAACAAATAAATATAAATGTAATGTAAATGCATTGCAGTAATGAAAGTCACCTTTGGGAATAATGGGGCGGGGGTGAACTCTGGATGAAAATAATTCATATTCATAACCATTGAGAATAATAGGAATTACAAAAAATAATAATCTAGATATGACAGTAAAGATTTTTTTCACCCACTAAAACTGAATTAAAAATCTTAATGGTTCTAAAAAATATAAGCATATAATAAACAAATAGATATAAATGTAATGTACATGTGCTGCAGTAATAAAAAAAAAAATCACCTTTGGGAATAATGGGAAATAATAATAAAAAAAAAACCCTCTGCATATTACAGTAATGAAAATCAAACTTTTTTGCACTAAAAATGAATTAAAAATCTTAATGGTTCTAAAAAGTATTAGTATATAATAAACAAACAGATATAAATGTAATGTAAATGTATTGCAGTAATGAAAATCACCTTTGGGAATAATAAGAACTACAAAAAAAAGCATATTACAGTAAAAAAAGAACAAATAACAAATCTTAATGGTTCTGGCAAAAAATAGATGTAAATGTAATGTAAATGTATTACATTGAAAATCACCATTAGGAATAAAATTAATTAAATTAATTTGTAGTACAGTAGGTTATTTTATCTCTCATGAGCTGAAATGTGTTTTTTTTTCATCAGGACTAAAGAGAATTTTAATCAAGAAATTAGTTGTATTTAGTTTGATCTTTTATTTGAGCTTCACTGGCTGTATAAAAGTACATGAACATTTATTTTCCTTTAGAAAATCCAACAAATACAGACTGTGCAACATTCAAGTAATCAAACTGGAGCAACATAATCGTCGCAAGTACAAAAGAACTTGATTTAGTGACACACTTGCACTCTTTTTGGAGATTTGTGTTTCATAATTAAACACAAGAAACGGAGTTGCATGAGGTGGATGGACGCAGGTGTTGAAGATCATTTATATATAACTTAAAAATGAAATGAAATTAGAAATGTTGAAATAAAATAAGCTGAAGTATTAAAATTAATACATAAATAAAAATAAATAAATAAATACATTTAAATAAATTAAAACTAAATAGAAATAATCATAAAAAGACAAAATATATAAAAAAAAAAATTATACCAAAATTACTAAAACTGAAAATATAAAAAAATAAAAAGCTAATTCAAAATACTAAAATAACACTGTCAGAAATATGTTCCATCAAGTCCAGACTTTTGATTCACAGTGGACTCTGTCCAAAACCTAGTGAGTTGCCTACATAGGCAGCTACCTTCTGAGGGAGCATCATCACAGAACCTCATATGTCAGTAATCTGGATGCTCTATATATATAGTTTACACAAAGTGCACAGAAAACCACACATGATTGATTTCTAAAGAGGCTGATGCTGACATGCCGCTATGCTAATGACACAACACTCTAATAATAAGCATTAAAGAATACATCACACACACAAAGATTGGGTAAAACGGTCTACTTTAAATTAGACCAAAGCCATTTTAATTATATTTTTCAACACTGCTTCGTTCACAAACTTAACTTCTATTATTTTTTAAATGATTATGTGTTTGCGTTCTTTGCGGATGTGATTTGATCCTCAGAATTTGTCTGAAATCAGAAGTGCACTGAAATCCTGTCTATGTAAGGTTTTGTACCGGAGCCTCAGACTCCAGCTGAGCTCAGACTGTCTGAAATGAATCCCAACATCCTCCGGCAGCTTGTTTTTCCTACCGACCCGCAAAATCGACTGATCCTTAAGCGATCCCTGATTGGATCCGGAGGTTTAATTGAGAGCTCACCGATACGGACTGATTCCTGAAGGCCTGGATACAGGCGATGCTCTTCATGTAGTACTCGGGGCTCCTGTTGCCGAGCAACTGCTCAATCCTGTAGGTCAGCTGCTGGCATGCTGTCAAGGTTACAAAACGATTATCAAAGCGACCGTGCTAACAACAAAACCTGCAGCTAACATTCAGAAACAACACAAATCATTTAACGCCGAGCGACTATTCAGTGTCTCAGAGTATCTTTCAGTCTTTAGCGAGGCCTTACAGACATGCCAGGAGCAGTAATAGTGCATTTACATTACAGCATGTTTAATAGTAGACGCTTGTGAAGGTTGAGGAGTGAGAGTAGAAAAGAAGATGAAACCGAACAATCAAATCTCACCCTGGTCTTCTGTCGAACCAGCGTGCAGAAAAGAGAGAGCGTCTGTTAAAGTGCGATACTTCACACGGTACTGAAGTCAGAGTGAATACATGTTCCTGGACTTATTGTACTCTGAAAGAACTTTTTCTGCTGACGCAAGCTCTGTCCTACATTTTTTTTCCTATTTAATACCCTTTTCACTCTGAAATACGTCGTGTTACGTACAAAATGGATTGTGGAAGGTATTTTACATTGACTTTAAGACTGAAATGTTTTATAAATTTTAAGGAAAAGCATTAATAAAAAAAACTAATAAATATAAAAATGATATATTACACTATTATACAAAAGTTAGGATTTTATGTTTTGGAAAAAAAGTCTCTTCTGCTCAGCAGGGCTGCATTTATTTGATTAAAAATACTGTAAAAATAGTGAAATATTATTACAAATTAAATTAAGTGTTTTCTGTGTGAATACATTTTAAACTGTAATTTATTTCTGTGATCAAAGCTGTATTTTCAGCATCATTACTCCAGTCTTCAGTGTCACATGATCTTCAGAAATCATTCTAATATTCTGATTTGCTGCTCGAGAAACATTTCTGATTATTATCAGTGTTGAAAACAGTTGTGATGCTTCATATTTTTATGGAAACCTTTTTTCAGGATTCTTTGATGAACAGAACGTTCAAAAGAACAGCATTTATTTGAAATCAAAATCTTTAGCAACATTATAAATGTCTTTACTGTCACTTCTGATCAATTTAATGCATCCTTCATGAATAAAAGTATTCATTTCTTTCAAAATGACCCAAACCTTTGAATGGTAGTGTATATAAATATAAACGTAAAATATCTTGTCATTTTAATCTGAGTGATGTACATGTAATGTACCGATGTGAAGTTTCCCTCCGTAATCTCGGCCAGGTTAAACTCTGTCACTTCATCCATTTTGACTTTCTTCGCATCTGGTTCGTCAGCACTGATAAAGACACACAACAGCAATTAATACGAACTAATCTCAGATTATGAACAGTAAAAATGCAAGAAAGAGCAGCCTCAAATGTATGATGACATCAATGACACTGGAAACACACTCTAGGAGTGGGTGGTGCTTAAATCCTTTGTTACACACCCCTCTGGAATACTTCATTCTGATTGGTCAATCACAAAATAAACCCCTCCCATAAGGTTTGCATTACTGTGTGTTTCTTCAGGTTTTATGAAGGTAAACTTAAGACTTTTTTTTAAGACCAAGTAAAGAAAATGTAAGAAATAAATGTAAGGGGACAAAGAAATTAACAAAAAAAAATAAGTGCGTTTACAATTAAAACAAGAACAAATGTCTTCCAAAAGGGTTAGAAAAGAGCTTAATTAAAAGGGAAAACAAGTTGATTTTTCTGACCCCATTATCACGTTAGTTTCTATTTTCAGCATAAACATACTTAATTTTGCTAAATTTCTCAGAAAACAAGACTTCATATTTATCGTCATTTTGCATCTCAAGTAAATGTATATTGATTTAAGCATGTTTAGATATACTGGAAAACAACACAAAACTGCAGAGAAAGATGTTCATTTTTTGCAGTGCATGCATCATTTAATGCCTCGACTTTATCAATTTAAGACTTCCTGTTCTGAATTAAGACCTTTTTGAGGTTTCAATTAGTGGAAGAGCAAATTAGGACTTTTTAAGGCCTGCAGAAACCTTACTGAGAACAGAAAACCAGCTGTGCAAATATGTGACCCTGGACCACAAAACCAGTCATAGGGGACATAAGGGAAGATTTATGCATCATCATTAATGTATGGTTTGTTAGGATAGGACAATATTTGACAAGATGATTTTCTCAGTATTTTGATTTTTTTGCACCCTCAGATTCCAGATTTTCAAATAGTTGCATCAATGGAAAGCTTATTTATTCAGCTTTCAGCTGATGTATAAATCTCAATTTCTAAAAATTGACCCTTATGACTGGTTTTGTGGTCCAGGGTCACATATTTTGTATTAAAGATGAATAGTTTTGTTGTATGTATGCAGCATGCAGCAGTGGCGCTGTCCGCTCTGATTCTCCCTCGACAGTCTAAAGATGGCAGCGATTGTGCGTAATGCTTACGATCGTTGCAGCAACCCTCAAGTGGGCGCCGCTTTTCTCTGCATAAAGGAGAAATATGAAGTATGTGGATTCACATCAAACAGAAAACACACTATACATGATTCATCTTCAGTATGTTGCACACCAGAGCCACTCCTCATGTCTCTTGTCCTCAGTGTCTGCTGTACGTGCAGCTGCCGTTTATGGAGGATCTCCGACAGTTCACTTTCCCAGTGTTGGACAACAACAAGAAGTTCACGCCTTCAGGTTGGTCCTCACATAACCACCCTCAAAACAGGAGCCGGTTTCTAGCAGATGTGTATACAGCTCACCTGTATTCATTGAATGCTGCACCATTATCCTGCATCAGCAATTTCTTTGGTCTTCTTTTGGTTTCTGCAGGTCTTAAAAAGTCTTAATTTGCCCTTCTACAAATTAAGGCCCCAAAAGGTCTCAAATCATAGCAGAAAGTCTTAAACTCATAATTCAGTAATGGCATTAAATGTTGCATGCATTGCATTAAATTTAATATCTTTGTCAGTATTTTTATTTTGCTTTCCAATACAAATATCATTAAATGCAAAATCAAGTCTTGTTTTTTTTTTGTTTTTTGAGAAATTTATCAAAAGGAAGCGAGTTTATGATAAAACGAGAACAAATATCTGTCAATGGGGAATGAACTTGATTTCATTTTGAATTAAGTAGATTTTTTTTTCTGAGCCCATTAGTAGATATTTGTCCTTTTTCATCATAAATTCACTTCCTTTTGATAAATTTCTCAGGAAAAAAGACGACTTATCATGTGTCGTGTTTGCATTTTGATTTAAAAAAAAAATGTTTAGACATGCACTGGGAAACGAGACAAAAATACTGAGGAAGAGCAGCAGTTTTGTGCAGTGTGTTCAGAAGATACAGTAAAAGTTAGTTCCATATTCTAGTTAAGCTATTTTTGGTAAAAAGTGATGGAGATCAGTTAGAAGTTGTATTTGCAAACTTTGAAATGCTGCCAATTCAACTCATTGTGTTTCTCCTTAGACATTGTGCTTATTCCTTACATTTTCTTTAATTGGTCTTGAAGTCTTGAATTTGCCTTCATGAAACTTACAGAAAGCCCGTCTTCTGAGGCACATCCAGACTAAAGGAGACGAATGTTGATGCTGTTGGTTGACTGTGATGGTCTCTGTGTGAATGTCTCTGGTCAGAGTCTCGGCTGTCAGCCGTGGACGCGCTGATCGACTCCATGATGCTGGTGGAAAAAGATGATGATGGAGAGAGCGTGGACGTCTTCAAAGTCAACCACATTCCAAACCCACAGTTCCAGAGTCTTTTCCAGGCATGAATGTTTCTCTGTTTTTATCAGCCTGACAATATTTGATGCAGTCATAAAAGTCAAATACATTTGCATTATGCATTTAGCTGACGCTTGTATGCAAACTGACTTACAAAAGAGGAGCAAAAGCAATTCATAGATTCAGAACGTTGAATGTAAATAGTAAAAAACAGTTCTAGCTAAAAAAAAAAAAAATCAAGGATTTTCACACTAAATAAACTCAAGGAAGAATAATATTTAAGCATTTTCATTCGTATGCATAAATGTAACGATACATAGTCATAAACAAAAAATATTTACCTATTTATTTTGGTTACACTTACAATGAGTAGATCCTTCAATAGCTAATATAAACAAAAATTAATAATACCTTTACAGAATTTATTCATCTAGGTGAAAATTAATTTAAACATATACTGTGATTTATTAGTTAATACATCTTGAAAATACACGAACACTTACTAATAAACAAATATTTAAGTATTTTCAAGTTGTGTAAATTGATGAACCATAGTATATGTATAAATTAATTTTAACCTAGAATAATAAATGTTTTTCATTGTTAGTTCATAATATTAAAAGTTTGGAGTCAGTAGAATTTGTTTTTTAAATGTTTTTGAAAGAAGTCTCTTCTGCTCACCAAGGTTGCATTTATTGAATCAAAAATACAGTAAAAACAGTAATATTGTGAAATGTTATTACAATTTCAAATAACTGTTTCCTATGTGAATATATTGTAAAATATAATTTATTTCTGTGATCTGCAGCTGTATTTTCAGCAACATTACTCCAGTCTTCAGTGTCACATGATCTTCAGAAATCATTCTAATATGCTGATTTGCTGCTCAAGACACATTTCTGATTATTATCAATGTTGAAAACAGCTCAATATATTACGCAGACACCATGATGTACTCCCATTCAAAAGTTTGGGGTATGCGTTTTTAATAAAAATTAATGCTTTTATTTAGCAAATATGCATTAAATTGATCAAAAATAACAGTAAAGACATTTATAATGTTACAAAAGATTCTATTTTTTTTTTTAAAGCTTTTCTTTTGAAATTTCTATTCATCAAAGAATCCTGAAAAAAGTTTCCACAAAATATTAAGCAGCAAAAACATTGATAATAGTAAGAAACATTATTAATAACTGAGCACCAATAATAATTGAGCAGTAAATCAGCTACTTCTTCAGAAATCATTCTAATATGCTGATTTGCTGCTCAAGACACATTTCTGATTATTATCAGTGTTGAAAACAGCTCAATATATTACGCAGACACCATGATGTACTCCCATTCAAAAGTTTGGGGTATGCGTTTTTAATAAAAATTAATGCTTTTATTTAGCAAATATGCATTAAATTGATCAAAAATAACAGTAAAGACATTTATAATGTTACAAAAGATTCTATTTTTTTTTTTTTAAAGCTTTTCTTTTGAACTTTCTATTCATCAAAGAATCCTGAAAAAAGTTTCCGCAAAATATTAAGCAGCAAAAATTCAAAAGTTTGGGGTATGCGTTTTTAATAAAAATGAATGCTTTTATTTAGCAAATATGCATTAAATTGATCAAAAATGACAGTAAAGACATTTATAATGTTACAAAAGATTCTATTTTTTTTTTTAAAGCTTTTCTTTTGAAATTTCTATTCATCAAAGAATCCTGAAAAAAGTTTCCACAAAATATTAAGCAGCAAAAACATTGATAATAGTAAGAAACATTATTAATAACTGAGCACCAATAATAATTGAGCAGTAAATCAGCTACTCAAGAAACATTTCTATTCTTATCAGTGTTGAAAACAGTTGCGCTGCTTTTTGTTGAAACTTAATTCTAGAAATAGAAATCTTTGTAACATTATAAATGTCTTTAATGTCACCTTTGAAGAAGTTAGTGCATCCTTGCTGAGCCCAGACCTTACAGATACTGAGCCCTAGTGTTTATTCACCCTCACATCTCCTCTCTCTGTCCTTCAGTACTACAGTGATTCAGGTGTGTGACACTGGCTGTGAAATCCGTGTGTCTCGGCAGTGGCTCTCATTGATCTTTTCTTGGCTCGCGTCCTCAGTGCTTGCATCACCGCGGTGTGAATCCTGACGATCCCCTGCTGCATGTAGAGCCTGAAGAGGCTGAAGAGGGATCTAGAGCGTCCCCAGGATGTGTCGGCCCGCTGCCAGGCCCCTCTGCAAGACGTCAAGACCAAGTTCCCTCTGAAAGTGGTGGTGAAAAAGAAGGAGCAGAAGACAAGTGCAGACGTGTTCGGCAGCAGGTGAGAATGGAGCTGTGGATGAAGTGCTACATGACTTCCAGCATATACATGTCAACCGGTAGAGATTGTGGGAGACATATGTGACCCTGGAGCACAAAAGCAGTCTTAAGTCACTGGGGTATATTTGTAGCAATAGCCAAAAATACATTGTATGGGTCAAAATTATTGATTTTTTTTTTTTTACCAAGAATCATTAAGACATTAAGTAAAGATCATGTTCCATGAGGATATTTTGTAAATTTCCTACCGTAAATATATATATTATATTATATATATTAATCCAAAATTAAGTTTTGATATATTTACAGTAAGAAATTTACAAAATATCTTCATGGAACATGATCTTTACTTAATATCCTATGTGCCCCAGGGTCACATATTACACTACTGTTCAACAGTTTGAGGTCAGCTAATTGTTTTTTTTTTATAAATTAATATAAAACATTATTAAGTAAGGATGCATTAAATTGATCAAACGTGACAGTAAAAACATTTATAATATTTATAAAATATTTCCATTTCAAATAAATGCTGTTCTTTTGAACTTTCTATTCATCTGTGAATCCTGAAAAAATAAAAAGCATCACGGTTTCCACAAAAATATTTGGCAGCACAACTGTTTCCAACATGGATAATAATCATAAATGTTTCTCGAGCAGCAAATCAGCATATTATTATGATTTCTGAAGATCATGTGACACTGAAGACTGGAG